GGGGAAGTAAAGAAGATGGAGGCAGACTCTTCTCGGTGGTGCCCAGTGAAAAGACAAGAGGCAATGGGGCACAAAATGAAATACAGGAAATTCCATTTAAACATAAGAAAAAACTTCTTTACCATGAGGGTGGTCAAACACTGCAACGGGTTACTCCATCCTTGGAGATATTCAGAACCTGCCTGGACACAATCCTGAGCAAGCTGCTCTCGTTGACCCTGCTTTGAGCAAGGTGTTGGACTAGATGATTTCCAGAGGTCCCTCCCAACATCACCCATTCTGTGATTTTTTTTTTTTTTTTTTTTTTTTTGGTATAACTAATATTAAAAAGGTTCTTTTCTCCTTTTTGATTTACAAGTAAGGCTACTAAAATTTTTCTAAATATCTTTTTTTTTAAAGACAGTAAAAGAGTTTGCTTTTTGTTCATGGTGAAATGTAACGCAAAAATGAGAAGATTCTAGAAATTAAACAACTACCCTCCTTGTAGCATCAGTGTTACCTGAAAGGTAATTTGAAGAACCAGTTTATACCGCAGTATTTAGTTGTCCTGCACAGTTTGTTTATTAGATTTCTTACTATTTTTATTATTGTTGAAACAACAGCCCAGGTCTGTTGAAAAAGAACCTTCTGAAATGAAACTCTTTGGTTTTTTACAGTTGAATCTTTACTTTTTCACTAATTATCTAGGACACTGCTACTTAACCAAAGCCAGTGCATGTTTTATTCATGCTGCTGGCTTCTCTTAAAAATGTAATTAACCTTACTTGTATGCTGTTAACTAGAACCTTTAAAATATTTATTGATGGCTTGTTGCATCACCCCTGCTACCAAAACAGCTTACATTATTCATTGACTTTTCAAGGTTTGATGCATTTACTATACCTGTTGAGGAATAAGACTTTAATAAAGGGAAGAATGGTGCCTAGTTTTCTTGGATCAAAAAACATATGCTAGACAAATGGGAGTACCTTCTAAAATAGATTTGGAATGACTTCAAATCTAAATTCAGAAGGTATTTCTGAGGCACCCAATCTTGCAGTTACTTGACATGCACAAGTAGTAGCTTTACGCACTCCTGCTTGGCTGAAGCCTGTGCAGCACAGTCAGATGAACTGGGTCAGGCTCAGTCCCCAGTTCAGGATGGCACTTAAGCATGTGCTTGAACCTCCCTTCTTTACCGGTGGTCCTTCCCTTGCCACGAGCGCTCCTGCTGACCTCCGCATGGTGTGTAGCTGCAGAATTAGGGCTAAAGCCCAGCGCAAGTCCACCTGCAGGTGGTGATCCCCAAGCGTTCCTCATCCGCTGTGCCAGCCACAGTGAAGATGCTCTAGAGCACATGTCCCATGATGATATTTCTTTACTTTTAAAGTTTACTGAGGCAAAATAGCTGACTAGCTGCTAGGCCAGGTAATTACTCAGCCACCCCATGTTGTGCATGCCTCGTCTTTTTAATATATTGTATAATGCATTCTTTTTTTTTTTTTTTTTTTCTCTTCGCTTCCCCCAAATGTTGCTCTCTTGACACACCTCTGCTTGCTGTTTTTGTCACTGTGCTTGATCCCCCTCCCCGGCCCATTGCCATCATGTGCTCGCTGCCTGCTAATTAAGACTCAGCCAGCTGTCAGATCACTGAAGCGACCGCTCGAGGCAACCTTTGACCTGGTACTTGGACCTTTCACCTTCTCGCTTTGCATGTAACCATCTTAGTCTGCATGAAAGCCTTCCGCACTTGGTCTGTTGTGTTAGTGCCTGGGGAGACTGCCCATCCTGGCCAGAAATGTTGCAGTGTCCGTTCAGACATGCCGATTCTGCACCCTGCACACCATCCATTAACCGTCTGAGCTTTGCCTCCTGAAACCCAGATGCGTTTTGGAGGCAGTGAATAATCTTGGGGGGAGGCAGTGCTGGGTTTTGAGGTGTTTTTCCAAACAGCAGCAGCTTTGGAGTCGTGAGACACGATGTTTCGGTGAGAATTGAACTCATTAGGTCTGCAGTGTGTTGGATATGCCAGAGGACTGGGTGGTGCAGGACAGATCCAGCAACTTTTTGTGGTATGCCCAACAGCACAGCCGTGCCTGGCAGTGTCATGCTGGTACTGCCCTGCAAAATGGTGTTCTGTGCAATGGGCACAGCACAAATTTAGGACCTCTCCAGTCCTGGTGGTTCCTGACATTAAGAGAAGCAGAGGGAGAGAGCTAAGCAGCACCCATAGAGATCTGTGCTGGGAGCTGAAGCGGGTGCAGTGCAGGACTTTGGTCGCGTGTTCAGTAAGCTGGGAAGACGACTGCCACTGCAGCTGGCTCTGTCTCTGGTTCCTCCTCCCATACCGCAGTGGGACAGTGTGTCAGCAAAGGCACCTCGCTGTGGGTGCTTTTTGCTTCAGGCACAGGGTCCGGCTCCCCAGGCTTCTGTCTGCAAGCCATCTTCATATAAACCACCTTTGATTATTTTCTGAGTCTCAAACATGTTTTACCTGTCTTCATGACACTCATAGTGAGGCAAAAGCCATCCTCCCAGTCTGCTGTCAGTCCTGGCTGCATAGAAGACAACTCTTTCCTGTTCACCCCAAATAATGAGGGATCCCATACATCCTGCAGAAAAATGGCTCCTGTTGCCCAGCTATAGGGGGGAGTGGGAAGAGTGGACACAGGGGAGCCCTGAAGCCTTCAAGTGTTGCTCCCCATTCCCGGAGCTGGGAAGCAGAAGCTGATCTGCTCCCCTTCCCCTCTGAAACCTTGGTTTTGGGTTTTTTAAGTAGTCAAGAGGCTTCCCTGTTGGAGCTTTAGACAGCAGCAGTAGGAAAGCTTGCCTAGGGATCAGCTTCTGCCAGCAGTCATGGAATTACGCTGTAAATGACATGACAGCCTCTCACTCCCTGACACTCGTGG